CCTACATTCTTGACTCTTTAGTTTTAAAAAATGGTTTCCAGCTATCTCACTTCTTTCTTCCTCCTGATCCCCTCCCCACAAGCAAACTTTGTGGGGTTAAACAAAAGGATGGAGCTTACTATGAATCTTTCCATCCTTTGGTTCCATGTACCTCGTTAATTAAACCTGTTGAGAAGAACCCACGGAAACAATCAGGAGCACTGGAACAACATGCATAGTGGGTGTGCTGAGAGCCGTTGAATCAAACTGTATATAATGAAAATCACTACAAGCCGGGGGGCATGGCAGCATCCCCCCTTCCTGCACTCTTAGTTCCAGCATCTATGAAAACAATATTTATTGTTAGTAATTATTTGTATTACATTACCACTGAAAGGCCCCACCTGGAGCACTGTTAAACTTCAAAGTAAGGACAGGTATGTCTACACTACAGCAGTCTGGAAGGTGCAATTCCCATCACTGGATGTCATCTGCTTGCTTTGCTCGAGCACTGGTGACAAAGGCAGTGGTGTGGGCTAGCCCCCTAGTTGGTAACCACAGTGGAGATTATACTTGGTGCTCAGCCCAAGTCTTGATCCATGCTGCTGTGAGCACACTGCTGTTTTCAGGCACTAACTCAAGCAGAGCAGGCTTGTGTATACAGTGTACCTGAGCTGGGAATTACACCTCCCAGCTGCTGTATAGATGGACACAATCCCTGCCCTGAACAGTTTGCAATCTAAATATAATTATTAGCCAAACACACCCACTCATCACTGCACAGATCACACACTCCATCATCAAATTCTCTCCCTCCACAATCTCCCTGGGAACAGGTTAGTACACAGCAGCTTCTCACGCCTGGTGTGCTGTCCCTTGGAGTCTGAGTTCATTTAGTGCCACCAGGCAGCACCTGAGAAATGCTATTGATTGCACCTCCTCCTCTCACCCTTGCAAAGGCTGCTTTCACAGCAGGACCTACAGCATGTCTGCTAAATCAAACAGTTGAGATGGGCACACTAGGCTGACCACCTGGCAAAATTCCAGCACGGAAAGGGGTGGTAGCAGACACAGCCAGAAGGCAGCTCTAGGAACCCCTGGGTGTTCTCCAGCTGTTAGCTATATCCAGTTTTTTTTTTAGAGTGGTGGTGGCAGCTGCCCTGAGTTGG